TTGTGGTATAATCAGCATTTTTAAAATCTATTCAGGATTTATGTTTTCTTGTTTATTCATTTTTCTTATTTTTTTATTCTCCTGTAATAAGTGTCATCGCTGCTGTGACGTCTAGCTTTCCCCACTGAGGAACAATAAAGGGATTTTCTATTCTATTCATCTGTCTGCAGCCTTTCCACTTCCTGTTTACTGTAGGTTAAATCTTTTCTCACGGGCCAACAACATAAAAATATAAGTTTATCTTAAATGAAAATGCAACATCTCACCTGTTAACTTTCATGTTTTGGAGCAGAAAAAGAGCATAAAACCAACATATTTAAAGCTCAGTTTGTTCCACTGGTTTACTGTGATGCTCACCTGTTCCAGCCAGATACCTGCATCATGGGGTTGATCTGAGCTGAGGAGGAGACTCTTGTTGTTTTGTTCATCTTCATCATAACAATGACAACATTAGATGACAACAGGTGCTCACATAGGTTGGAAAACTTTCGTGAACACATTACTGAGCAGTTAAAATCTCCATTTCTGGGCTTCAACGTCGGCAAATAGCTGAGTAAATTCAGCGCCGAGTGAGAGGAGTGTTTAGTTTGTCCGAGACAGCGGAGCTGCACACACCCGGCAGCAGACGCTGGGAAAAACACAAAGGACGGGGCGCTTCGGCTCCGCGCTGACGCCGCAAAGCATCACGGGAGTTGAAGTCTTTGCGGTAAAATCGGCCAGCGGGCCAGTTTTAATATATTTTTTATATTTATCTCGCGGGCCACATAAAAATGCTCCGCGCGCTGCATCTGGCCCGCGGGCCTTGACTCTGACATATGTGCTCTATATCCTGCCATTTTCTGATCCCCTCTCCTCTGATTAACTTCTACTTCCTGACACAGTCGCACCAGAGCTTTTTTTCCTCAGAGATCGACTCACAAGGCAAATATTTATACTAGAAACAATTTCTCAGTGAACGATACCTTTAACCCTTTGATGCATAATGGTCACTACAGTGGACAGGTACTTAAAATTGTTATTAATTTATTTTTGCTATTAAGCACAGCTGTTGAAGACTTTATTGCATTTGAACCCCTCCATCTGTACTTCAGTAAGTCAAGCCAACATTTTTCATGTTCAGATTGCACACTGTCCACTGAGGTGGACATGTAATAAATTATTTGTAAATTAAATTTTACAAAAAATATGTAAATATGAAATTTGTTTCATTCACACCTAAAGATGAATGAAATTTTTTTAAAAAAAAATCATGGTTGACGATTTCATAATTCATGCATCAAAGGGTTAAGTGTAGCATGCAGCCAAGTTAAAGGCTTTAACTTGGCTGCATGCTTTACAGATCTGTCTGAGAATCAGACAGCAATGAAAACAGACCACAGATCGACATCATCGACATCAAGCAAGCTAAGATGTAGATTTCTTGTTTGAACCTGCAACTATTTAGTATTCAATGCTTGTAAAAGATCACATTATTATGAAGAAGTTATGACACAATGGTGAACATGCATCCCTCACAACATTTTTGAGTGTGCATCTTGCATAAACTTAAATCAGTCCCTGTATTTCTACACTTTTCATTTACAGACTGTTTCATCCATTGATTCTAACTGTTGAAAAGATGCATCAACAACATCGAACCTCTAATCTGCTTCCTCCTCGCCTTCGTTCTGTCTCATTTCATTCATCCATTCATTCAGCTTCCCAGAGGGGCTATTGATGTTACATTATATCTTCATTTCTTACTTGTTTCCAGCCAAACTGGCAGTAAATCGTTTATTATCGTCCACTATATTCCAGTAGCAGTGTTGAGTATCCTAACGAATTGAGTCAGAATCAAGCAAAGTGCTTTTTTTCCCCACTTTGTTTTCCCCCCAGTCATAATACAGCTAAAGGGGACGAGAGCAGTGTGTTAACTGTTACACACTCACAGTACGCCATTGCCTGCAGATACAAGTGTTATGAGGTGGTGGAGACTGGATCGTCGGCTGAAAAGCATCAGTGAGAGTTTTGCTGGTGATTGTAAAACATCCAGTCACATCAGCCAAGGCGTCTGAGGATGTCCGCTGCAGGATGTCGGCGATCATTCAAGATTAACGTTACAATCCATTATTTAGTCAGCTGATGAGAAAATGCAAAACTCTCCAGTCGGTGCTGACCTTATTCTCACGTCTGCTGTTGCCGTGCTTTTTGTTTTATCCTGTGGTAAAACAGAATAACCTTTGCCTCCGCTGGGGGATAAATGTTTGCTGGAAATCAGCCGAATGTTCAACGATTTTGTGAAATTTGAATCTGCCTTGCCTTCTTCTCAATCACTCTAAGTGACAAACACAAACACGGAGGGGATGGGCGAGGTGTGAGTGTCGGGGGTTGCTACCAGGAAGCAACAGCTGCAAAGCTGAATCCTATTTTTGTTTTGGCCTCTAAAAAGTCCCCCAGAAGTAGGTGTTATCAGTACAGGCAGTGTGAAAGTATCAGAGCAACAACGGGCAGGACAACTCCTAATTTAGCAGCGCCAAAATTAGACGACTGTGCTTGAAGTTTAAACAAAAGCACTAAAGCTCAAAAGTAGGCTAATAGTCCAAATGGCACTGTAAATATTTGAAATGAAAAAAAGCAGGTGCTGTTCGTAATGGTGTCTTAAGAATTTGATGACTTTTTGGTAAAGCCAAAAACTCATATTTTATTGTGCCTTTTTAAATCAGAGATTTGTAGTTGTTTTGTATTCAGATGCAGAAATTCAGTCAAAGTTAATTTCCTATTTAGTAAAAATTGCATCTTTTTCTTGAGTCTGTGACATTTTTGCTTTGAAAGACTGACGGCAGAAGATGTTTAACATTCAGGCAATTTACACAGATTTCTAAAATATTGTTGCTATCTGCAGCAGACTGCTATAAAATAGTCACCAGGTGCTTTGGGAGTCAGTCACAGACTTAGCTGCCTGTGTTTTTGTGATCAGTTGCAATCAATTACAAACTAATTATTTTCTGCAAACAGGAACTTAACCTTGGGGCCAGAGTGCCCCTGAATGAAGGGGACTTCCAGGTGCTGCAGCCACAGCCCCGGGGCTCAACTAATTACACTCATATGTATTGTCTGAATTTTTCTTTTATGTGTTCTTTATTTTCATATCTTTTTATTGTACAGCCAAATCGATTCATGAGTCAAGAAGCAGAGAGCGTATGTGCAGTTTCTGAATAGACTGACGGGAAGTAAGGGACCCACACTCACGTGTCTGAAGTTATTAATTAATATAAACTTTTGGTCGGTTGCCAGATGATTAAGCTTGTATCTGAGTCAGTCTTCAGACAAGCAGGAGTTCACATCGGAGCCATGCAAGCACGCAGCAGGCATATAGGTGTTTAACAAGGTCAGGGTTCTTATTCAATCCAAGCCCCGATCCTCTGGTGTGACAGTTTTTTAGTTCCTGAAACAGATGCACTGGAGCTTTTTTTCCCCCAGAGTACAACTTAAAAGGCATTCATTTCTACTAGGGGCCACTGCAAATGCATTGATTAATTGAGTGTTTCACACCTTTAAGGCACAAAGTTCTTTCACTACTCGTCATTGTGATCTGTACTCACTCCTTAACTGGCCTTCACTCCATTCCCACATGTTATACTGGTATCAGTTTATATGCAGGTCCTTCTAAAAAAATTAGCATATTGTGATAAAGTTCATTATTTTCTATAAAATACTGAAAAAGATTAGACTTGCATATTTATTAGATTCATTACACACAACTGAAGAAATTCAAGCCTTTAGTTGTTCCTAATATTGATGATTTTGGCATACAGCTCATGAAAACCCAAAATTCTTATCTAAAAAATTAGCATATTTCATCCAACTAATAAAAGAAAAGTGTTTTTAATACAAAAAAAGTCAGCCTTCAAATAATTATGTTCAGTTATGCACTCAATACTTGGTCGGGAATCCTTTAGCAGAAATGACTGCTTCAGTGCGGCGTGGCATGGAGGCAATCAGCCTGTGGCACTGCTGAGGTGTTATGGAGGCCCAGGATGCTTCGATAGCGGCCTTAAGCTCATCCAGAGTGTTGGCTCTTGCGTCTCTCAACTTTCTCTTCACAATATCCCACAGATTCTCTACGGGGTTCAGGTCAGGAGAGTTGGCAGGCCAACTGAGCACAGTAATACCATGGTCAGTAAACCATTTACCAGTGGTTTTGGCACTGTGAGCAGGTGCCAGGTCATGCTGAAAAATGAAATCTTCATCTCCATAAAGCTTGTCAGCAGATGGAAGCATGAAGTGCTCCAAAATCTCCTGATAGCTAGCTGCATTGACCCTGCCCTTGATAAAACACAGTGGACCGACACCAGCAGCTGACATGGCTGCTTCTCTGTAGCCCAGGTCAGGCGCTTCTGCTGCTGTTTCTGGTTCAAAAGTGGCTTGACCTGGGGAATGCAGCACCTGCAGCCCATTTCCTGCACACGCCTGTACACGGTGGGTCTGGATGTTTCTACTCCAGACTCAGTCCAGTGCTTCTGCGGGCCCCCCAAGGTCTGGAATCGGTCCTTCTCCACAATCTTCCTCAGGGTCCGGTCACCTCTTCTCGTTGTGCAGCGTTTGCTGCCACACCTTTTCCTTCCCACAGAGGTGCCTTGATACAGCACTCTGGGAACAGCCTATTCGTTCAGAAATGTCTTTCTGTGTCTTACCTTCCTGCTTGAGGGTGTCAATGATGGCCTTCTGGACAGCAGTCAGGTCGGCAGTCTTACCCATGATTGCGGTTTTGAATAATGAACCAGGCTGGGAGTTTTTAAAAGCCTCAGGAATCTTTTGCAGGTGTTTAGAGTTAATTAGTTGATTAAGATGATTAGGTTAATAGATCGTTTAGAGAACCTTTTCATGATATGCTAATTTTTTAGATAGGAATTTGGGGTTTTCATGAGCTGTATGCCAAAATCATCAATATTAGAAACAATAAAAGGCTTGAACTACTTCAGTTGCGTGTAATGAATCTAATAAATATGAAAGTCTAATGTTTATCAGTACATTACAGACAATAATGAACTTTATCACAATATGCTAATTTTTTTAGAAGGACCTGTACAAAACAATCATCGAACATTGTCATATGTTCGCTCATTACTCATCACTTCCAACAACCAGCGCAAATTAAGTTTCAGTAACTTAATCTCTATGGTTATTCCCAAAGCTTGCACCTCATTTGACTGCTACTCATTCCAGTTTTCTGCATCCAACAACTGGAATGAGCTGCAAAAATCATTAAAGCTCACTGCCAACATCACTAATTTATTGCAATCAATAGTTTCTGATCAATGTGCTTCTGAGTACTTAAATACTGTTTTAAGTCTCTTTTGACTGCTTGTACATATATATGAGAACAGCTCTTTGTCTTTATGTCAATTTATTTTATTTTATTTGTCTTGTTTGTTTTTATCTTATCTGTTTTCTTTGGTGTAAAGCTAATTATCTGTCTGTTGCTGCTGCCTCTTGGCCACATCGTCATTGTAAATAAGAATGAGTATACAACTGACTCATCTGGTTAAATAAACAAACAAACAAACAAACAAACAACCCATAAATAAATAAATAAATAAAAGGTAATGCAAAAAGTGAGTTTTGCATAATGTGTCCCCTTTAACACCTGCCCCTCAAAGGCAACACTTGGAAAAACACACCTGAACCATCTCCTCAAGTTAATTGAGGGATCACTTCAGAGCACCACCGATGCAGAGCTTATTCATTAGGGGCAAGGCAACATCCTCCAAGTTTAGCTTTAATTATTATCCTTCTCTTGACATATCCGGTCTACTGCAGCTGTTAGACATGAGGAAAGACTAAAACTAGTAATGTGCCTTTTAATAACATGATGATGACAATATTGCACAAACGATATGGAAAAAATTATGCCCAGGTAATTATTTATTTAAGAAGTGTCAACAGATGTGTTTAATCATGACTTCTTTTTGCACAACATGCGAGCAGCCTGAACCGTTTCCGCCCCTCTCTGGATAGACCCCTCTGCCAAAGAGTTACTCACTTCACTTACGGTCCCCCCCCCCCACCACTTCCTAACTTCAGATGCACACTCACTGTCCCGTTCACAAACGCGCACACGCGCGAAAACACACAGCGCCAGATGCTTTTGCAAGCGCACTGCCAGCCGCGCTCCTTTTCAAACGCACTGGATTTCCAGCTGAAGGAGTGTTGGGTAGAGTTTTATTTTATGAAGTTGTTAAAAGTTTTGGTCTTCATTTCTTTTCTTTCCCCGCGCGTTCCTCGTTGTGGTGATAGATGGGTGGATGATGTGGTTCCAGTCCTGAACCGAGCGGATGGATTAAAAATCCTCATTTAACGGACACAATGAGTAGTTTTGAATAATTTATGCATCGGGACAAGAACATTGCAAGGTAAGTTTTAAGAACTGTTCTGAAAATGACCCCAGCTATTTTAAGGAAGTTTGTAATTTTATTGAAAGTAAATTAATCTTCGCACGCGTGTGTGATTGGATGAGAGAGCGGATGAGTTTGTGTAGTTAAGAGTTTTGTTTTCCATTAGTTTCCATCTTTGCTTTGAAGTTGTTAAAATAAGATTTATTTATAATAATAAGTAAAAATAAAATAAAAGTCTTGAAAAGTTAAAATGTGGAAATTATTTAAATGTGTGTGTGTGTGTGTGTGTGTGTGTGTGTGTGTGTGTGTGTGTGTGTGTGTGTGTGTGTGTGTGTGTGTGTGTGTGTGTGTGTATAAAATACTCAAATTCCCATCTGAACTGATTTACATTTTTGTACATTTCACTTTCTCTGCTAATCTCAAATTCCCTATCCATGTCGGCAGCGATCATCTCAGTTTAGCTTCTCTCCCAGCGGGTGAAGATGTGTCGGACTGTGTTTGCTGCTGCAGTGTTGCTGCCTCTCCTGGTGCTCACACTTGAGGTGTCCAGAGGCCAATTCTGTCCCAGGAGCTGTAACTGCTACCAGGCCAATGAAGTACACTGCACCTTCCGGTCATTAATTACTATCCCCCCTGGCCTGCCTGCACATACAAGACGCATAAACCTAGGGTATGGCAACACACTCGCAAAATGCACCACAGTTAAAAGAGCAATTTGTAAGAATTCTACAGTGAAATGATCACATAACAGTCTAATATCTCAATATGTTGCAAGTAAGGTTAAAAACAGATTTCCTTCTCAGCCAGCTGAAGGGTTGCCAGTTTTTATCCTTAAAAATAATAAAGACGGAAAGAACCGAAGTCAGTAAACAGAGGCAACACAGAAGTTATTTCTTGTTGCCCCAAGAAGCTAACATTGGCTAACAATATTGTCAGTGAAGTAAAAGCAAATAGTCGGCTCTAAAAATATTTCAAGCTACTTTGTCATTTACCAGAAACTTGATATTACATTGAAATGTATATGTGGAGTGAATAATGTGTCAATCGTGGTGTTTTACTTCCTTAATTGAGTCATTCAGAACCATAAAAGCAAGCTAACAGCAAAATACAACAACCACACTTCAATGCCAGAGAAATGTTACCGTAATAAGTGTAGTAATTGCTCCCTACCATAAAACACCCAAGAGTGCTTACCCCAGGTGTGACAATGCATTTATTTACTTATCAATTTACTGTAACTCATCTTCACTTGTCATTTAGAATCTTTTGGTGCTGATCCAAAACTGGCAACAGCCATGAAACGCTCAGTGAGAACCATCGACATATATACTGGACAATTAATTTCCATAGGCTCCAATAACACGTTTTTGAGGCTAAATGGGAGGTGGCCACCACCGCCATTTTGACCGTGTCACAGGTTCCGTCAAGCCCAGACAATTCCACAAAAGGGAAGAGAGGTGGAGCTGAGGGTGGGGCTGTAAGGCTGGGATGAACTGACGACACCCGGTCGAACTAGCTACAAGCTAAGCTGAAGCTAACCCAAAGCTAATGCGGAGGTGGGAGCTAAGCTAACGAAGGTAGCAACCTAGCTACAACCGGAGTTAACTGTGCACAACACCAGAGCTTCTGAGAAAGAGATACGCCGGGCTGACCGCTGGGTAAAACCGGGTGGAACACAGAGGTCTCCCGAAAGCTGCTGAAAGCCGGCAGCCACGCAGCAGACAGGAGCCGCGGCGATCAGAGATGCGCCGAGCTGCGGGGAGGGGAGAACCGGGTGGAAAACAGAGGTCTCCCGAGAGATCCACAAGCTGATAGTTGGAACCCAGCTCCACCAACATGTTATATTTCAACCCATTTTCTAAAGTGCAGCAATATGTTAAATGCACTGGGTTTTACCCTATTACATTTAAATTTCATGGTTAAACAGTACATGTTAAAATCTAAGCTCAGCTCGGCAGTGACCTAAAATACATAAATATAATTTTATTTACCGAAAAAAATGAAGTGGAGACTCCTTGGACGCTCTATTAGTGCAATTAATGCCACAGCAAGTCATTTTGTCCAACAATTGCATAAAAAATATCCAAAAAAAGAATACACAAACGCTACAACTAATGGTCTAAGTTGAGAGAGTGAAAATGACGGAGCAGTTTCCAGGCCAGACCAAGGCTCTACTGAGGCCTTTTCCCGGAGCTAGCTCTGTGGTCACGTGGGTCTGATGCTCATTAATTATACAAGATTTTAGGCTTATAATACACTTAAACAGAAGAGTGAGAAAAAAATTCACCCCCCTCAGAGTTGTCATGAGTGTAAACTAGATCATTTAAACCAAAAACATGTTTTGGTACCAGGCTGTAAACATGGTTATTTCTGCTGTGAAATTTATATTTTTAACATGGGAGTCAATGACGGTTTGCTCGCTTCTGACACCAGCCCCCAGTGGATGAGGGTGGAACTGCAATTTATTTCACTTCCGCTTTGGCCTCAATTTCTGTCCCGCATTGTGGGGGCTTGGTGAGAACGTAATCGCTGTAACCACATTAGTCCACAGGATGTCATTCTTACATATTGCATCTTTAAATCAGGATTTTAAATGAAAGTATTTCATTGCTCATGCTGCTTTTGTGCTTCTGCAGGTTCAACAGCATCAAGAGACTCCAAGAGAAGTCCTTGGCTGGGTTAAAGAGGGTGGAGCTTCTGATGCTCCATAGCAATGAGCTCCCTCACCTTCCAGATGCAGTTTTCAGAGATATGAAATCGCTTCAGGTAAGAAGCATGAAGGGCACCAGCACACGGCCCTCCACACATACCGGGGTCACTGAAAAGTCAAACAAGTTACTGGTCCACAGTGAGCAGTCTAGACAACATTATGGGCCGTGAGGTATTTCTAATGTAATCAAAGTTAAACCTGATTTTCAGCAGCGTACAGAGGTCTGTTTCTCTTTACAAACCAAGTAAACAAAATCACTTGCTTGTTAAAAAGAAAACAACACTACTGACTGTTGGGATAATAACATTTTTGGGTGTGGCAATTTAAAAAATAACTTCTCCAGCTTCTGTTGCAAATGCTTTTTGTTAGTTTGATTCCTTTTCTCACACATCTGCAGTTCAGAGTCTGCATAGTTTTCATGTGACAGATGCATCCACTTAAACTGTTAGTTATGGGAAGAAGATTAAAACTTGATTAATGCATAAAATCAACTACAATGCACAGCATTTGTCAGAAGGCTGCAACACTCAGCTCGAGTCTCATCTCCTTTTCAGCAGATTTATATTTTATAATTTCTACAAAATTGATGAATAAATGATGTGCTTTCATTTCTCTCTGTGGTGATGGGAAACACTGGATATTTTAGTGTAAGCATTCGAGCAGCTTTAGCGGTCAGTAGTGGACTGATATTAAACGAACAACTGTTTATTTCATCTGCAGGCAGATACTGATACATTTGCTCCTCTGTGATAAAATAATCCAAACTTCAACGTCGTCATGTATTGAAACTGTCAGCAGTTGGAGCGCTAACAGCTGAGATGCTTCCTGAAGAGTAGATTTATTGCAAACTTAGCCCAATAATAATAATAATAATAATAATAATAATAATAATAATAATAATAATAATAATAATAATAATAATAATAATAATGTTTTTTGGTTTAAACTAAGTTTATTGTCCCTAGAGTTTTATTTGGGGGTTTATAGGACTTAATTTTTTATTTATAATTCTGTAACCCACCGGTGCTAGAACACCCTTTAAGTTTACTCTACTTTGATCTGACTCTCAGACAGCCTTTTTGTCTTTAGGGAGTTTTAATTTTACTTGTGAATTGGTAAAGTGCATTACGTTTGTTCTCATATTTACAAAGGATGCGTTTAATCATTTCTGCAAAAAAGAGATTATTTTTCAATATTTCATCCTCATTCACTCTTCCTTTTGCTGTAAATGCAATTTACAAGCATGCCTAAAGTTGCTTTGACTATCAGCCTCGATGGCTGCTCTTTTAATTTTTACGCTTACTTAATTTCCCCTCCTACCCTTTCAGATACTAAAGTTAAGCTATAACAAGTTGAGAGAGATCTCTTCATCTGCGACCTTTACTGGCCTGACATCACTGCTGCGCCTCTACTTGGATCACAACCTCCTCCAGCACATCCACCCCCGGGCTCTGCTCCAGCTGCCTAGCCTCAGGCTGCTTCGTCTGCAGGGGAACAGACTGCATCAGTTGCACCCTCACGCTCTGTGCACCCTCTCCCTTCTCAATACGTATTACTTTTCAACACTAAGGTGAGGTTTGACAAGTTTTGAGCTTTGACCAACATTTTTACTTTGAAATAACTAATTAAAAATCAACAGCATTATCGAAGGTGCTTCAGGAATGACTTGATGGATACAAGTACAATTTCATAGCTGTTTTGATCATTTTTATCAATATTAGAGCATAACCACTGTGGCAAAACAAGAAAATAAAGATACAAAATGAAATAGAATGTTACAGCTGATCCTTTGGAGAGGGATTAATGCCTTTTCTCCCCATCTTTGCCTCATGTAGACACTTGGATCTATCAAACAACAGCCTAACCACTCTTACTCAAGAGAGTGTTGTAACAGCACCTCTGCTGGAGACTCTCAACCTGCAGGCTAATCCCTGGAGTTGTGACTGCAGGATGAACTGGTTTCTCTCTTGGAGTCTGGCACACCCAGGTGAAAATCTTGTCTAAAAAAGTGTTTTTAAAGGAGCAATTTGTAAGAATTCTACAGTGAAATAATCATAAAACAGTCTAATGCCTCAATCATGTTGGAAGGAAGGTTACTGAGGCAGATTTCCTGAAACAGATGGGGGGGTTGTCAGTTTTTCTGAAAGAGGGACCTTCTGAGGAAACGAGTTTGTGAGGTTGGCGGATCTGCAGCGAGCGAATGCAGCAGCGCAGGCCTTTGCGATGCGACACCGGCCTGCAAAAAGCTCCAAAGCTGTGGACAGAATGTCAGTCAAAGGAGCAACCCAGAAATTATTTATTGAAACCCTAAGTAGGGGTTTGTTTTAATTTAATATATGTAGAGTGAATCAGGTTGGAGTCTAACGTTGAGCTAATAATGCTAACAGTTAATCAGGAGCAAAGTGTCGGCTCACGAAATATCTCAACCCAGTAGAAATGAACAGCATAGACCACCATATGCTGTGTTTTGGTGCTGAATACTTATTCAGCATACAATGCAAGTCCAGCATGGGATGCTAGGGATTGGATACTGGACCAGCATCCCATCTTGGACCAGCACATCCACAGGCTAAACCAGCACCAAACAACATATACTGGTGACACCTATGCTGGTTTATGCTGTATTTTCAGCAGGGAAGATGCATCTTCAATACCAACAACTTGATATTACAGTGAAGTGTATGTGTGAAGTGAATAATGAGTCAATTGTGACGTTTTACTGTCTCTAATGAGTCGGTCAGAACAATAAGCAAGATGGCAACAATTAAACTTCCTTTGACGCCAGAGACATTCCTAGTAAGTGCTCCCTGATTGTAACATGAACCTGCCCAGGGAATACAGGTGGAAATTAGCATCTTTGGTACACTACATCTTTCCTTTATGGTCAATGTTAAATTCTACACCATACCTGTTTAAATAAATACGACTACTGTAGTAAAACACCCAAGAGTGCTAACACCAGATATAACAAAGTATTCATCTACTAATCAACTTACTGGGCATGACTCGTTTTTGCCATCTAGAATCTTATGGTGCTGATCCGTGACTGGCAACAGCCATGAAACTCACGGAACGGGAGTGACATAGTAATACTTTTAATTTTCCCTCCACTTTTCGTCACACTCTCTCCAGCATTTCGCCAATTTTCCTGGGTTGTTTTTTTCTCTCAGTAGGCCTTGTAGCTTTTATTGAGATGTAAAATAAAAGGCTGAAGTGTGAAATGTGTCTCACTGATGTGCCCGGCTTAACCTGCCGTGACTAATCCACGGTGACAGCACTGACGTGTGGCAGCCAATGATTGTGGTGTGATAATGAAGTGATAAATATTTTTTTATTTATGAGATGAAATAACCATAGCTAATTATTTTCTAACAAAGAGTAATGAATGGTTAAAATGAACTGGTATAAGGAATAAATGACTCAAATAGCCACAGAAATGAGCAGCAGCTGAAATGTGAACTCTAAATGTTTCTATATGAGGAACCGTCTTACATGAGTGTAATTTTCCCTTTCTGTCTCCACATTTAGGCCTAATGAAATGTCCCGGTGGCCCTCAGTGTCCAGTCTGTGCCTCACCAATTTCTCTCCAAGGGCAAGGCTTGCTTGACCAGATGGCTCTAAAGTGCACTCCACCCATCATCGACCTCCCACAAAAAGAAAACCTTTTGGACACCGACCTTAGTGAAACCCAATCAACTGAGGCCTTCAGAGAGCCTCTAGGCAGTGTCTCTTTAGGTTTATCTGACCAGCAAGGGAACAGCATCGATCTGACTTGTAACATCACTCACTCTACTGACTCCCAGGATATTACTCCTCCTCCAGATCTATCATGGACCTCCTCTTCTCCTCTTCACCTCGCTCTGTCACTCTCTCTGGAGTGTCCCATTAAAGCAGAAAACTATGAGAAACTTTGGCGGATTCTGGCCTATTACAGCGAGACGGCAGCTCGATTTGAGAGGGAGATCATGCTCAGCAAAGCCCCGTCATTGGCATACCGGTACAGGCAGGTGCAAGAGACCGATGGATATTATCACACTGGAGTTAAAGCTTCTGTTAAAGCCAGACCACGGTGGTTACTGCAGTCAGCAATTAGCCTTCAGCTGAACAGAGCCCAGTCTAGTGGACACAAAGTCCAGCTGATATACTCAACAAGAGTTTCTGCTCAGCCCGATCCTACTTCTCATCTCTCAACATCCTCCTCCGCTTCTCACCAGTGGGTCATGATTTCGATTAATCGTACCACGGCAGCTCTAGCTGTAGTAGCTGGCAGAAAGATAGAACTAACTTGCCCTCTTCTCAGCTCTGGTAAGCCCAGTGTTTATTGGATTCTCCCTGATGGATCCAAACTGAATTCCCCTTCTAGCAATTTAAATGGAAGGCTTCAGGCATCAGCTTTGGATTTACTTATACAAAAAGCACTGCTCTCTGATGCTGGGATTTATTACTGTGTTGCCAGAGCTGGAAAGGATGTAGATGTTCTTCCCCTAAGACTAGCAGTGGAAGACTCTTCTGCTCTGCATTCAGCAGAGATAAGTGGACCTCCTGTCACTGGAGAGGTTGGAGAACTAGTCACTTTGTCGTGTAAGATGTCCGGTTCACCACAACCTTCTGTGAATTGGATTTTGCCAGATGGAAATGTAGTACGGCAGGGATTAGCTGTATCAGGTGAACTTGCAGTAGATTTAAATGGTACTCTCTCTTTGCGTAAGTCATCTCTTAGGGACGCAGGATATTATCGCTGCATTGCCGTCAACCAGTATGGTAGTGATTCTCAGTCCTTTCCACTAATAATAAATCCTCCACACATATCGTCACGTGATACTTCATTTCCTAGAGGACCACAGTCAGCTTCTGGCAGGTCGACCAAGATACAAGCTCCATTGTTCCATCAGATCAATGAAGGTTCAGGGGACGAAGAGGGACAAAAACAGGAAAAAGTTTCCATTAACAAGATCAGGCTTTCAATACCACGCCCAAACAGGCGAGATCCGGTTGGAAAGCCACAAAGACGTGGTCATGTGAAAGAGGGCCCTTCAAGGAGAGGTGGACGTCCCGTTTCACCTACTGAGCAGAGAAGAAACCAATTTCAGAACAGACATAGGATCGCAACCAACAAACTTCGAATGGACCCCAAGTCATGGGCAGAGATCTTGGAAAAGATTCGTCAAAAGGCTGCTAATGCCACTCACATCCATTCCATTTCCAGAGTAAACACAACAGCTGAATCTATCCAAGAAGAAAATGACAAAGGCACAAAAGGGCATGGAGAAGGTGATGAAATGAGCAGAGGCAGAGCTGAAGGAACAGGAATAGAAGCAGAAACTGAAGGGTCTTCGGTTGATGAAGCTATTCTGAGAGAGGATCAGTCACAGCCTATTCAACCTGTTCATGGAGATATACAGACAATAGCATGGGCCAGAATCAATGCAGAGACAGAAAATGGTGCAGAGACAACAGAAACATTTATAAATTCTACAAGTGAGACGAAGACAATCGTACAGAAAGAAAATGAAAGTATACAAACAACAACGGCAAACCCAGTGAACCAGAAAGAATTAGTCACATCTAATTCGTTTTCAGGAACAAATCTAATTGTCTCTGAACTTAATAAGGTGCTTGAACAAGGACTAAACTTGAACCCGGCAATAACCAGGCCCCAAAATCCAAAACGGGGAGTTTTGCCTAATTTACTTCCAAGCTCTCGGCCTCACAGCCCCTGGAATGCACGAAGGAAGATTGGACAACGGAAGCGAATCAAGAGGCCCAGGATCCAGCCTGTGACCTCACCTCAGCCTCTCCCTGAGCCTGTGACACCTATCTCAACAACAGATATGATCAGCACATCACTGCCTGAGCCAGCAGCCTCACATCCAGCTGGTCTGTTGACAACCTGTGACCATATTAAGAATGCTGCAAATAATGTGGCTCTGAATGCTCTGCCCACACCTTTTTCAAGCAGTCATCATATTTCCACTTCCAACTTCATATTACCTTCACTCCCTCCCTCCCCTGCCCACACAGACATTATGAGTCATTCAGGCAAGATACCTCATTCTCAAGACTCTGCTTTCAACAGCACGTCAGCTCCCACTCATCCTGATATTGTGATTTCAGAACCACTTGTGCCAGGCACACATAGTAAGGCATTTACACACGGTGCACACACTCACACAGAAAGACAAACAACCTTGAACAACCATGTTGAAATACTCCCAAGTGGCGAAGCACTAGAAATGAATGAATTGGATGAGTCCCACTTTTCACGCACTCACTCTTTCATTGCCTCCGTAATCCCTAGTGTACCTTCAGCTACCTCTACTGTCCAAACAATCATAACAATGCCTTCCACTGGTCCTGAGAGGGCTGGTTATGCTGGCAGCACTGGAAGTACATCTACAACTTCTGAAGACACAAACAGTACTACAAAAACTTCAGCCATACATCCAGCAATCTCTCCTTCAACAACCATTGTTATTCCAGTGTCCAGCACCACCCAACAGACTTCTACTACTTCCACCTTCACTTCGACAACTACTACTACATCTAATTTCCCCCCAAATACCACCTCAGCCAGGACCTCTACTACTACAGTTATTCCAGTTATTGATATCTTTAGTAATACTAAAGATCTCCACACCAGTACAAGTAGAGACCCAATCTCTGCTGTATCCAGAAGTGAAGAAACTCCAAATTCAACTACCACAAAGATGGTTTCAACCAAAACATCTCCTGCTACTACAAAGCAACCTAAAGCTGGCAATGTCTGGAATACTACCAGTGAAACAGGAATAGCCATTACCAAAATGCCATCAAAATGGATGCCAGTTACTGGCCAAGTTGACCCTAGAGAGAGGGTTTTGCCTGGTACTCCCAACAAGAACCTAACTTCCAATGACTGGAAGAGAAATGGATTTAATTTTATTCCAGATTCACACAGCAGAAGGTTTCAACAGCCTCCATCATCATCACTACCTGCTCCACGGGTGAGTCCACTTTGTCCAAATAATATTATATTTTGTTTACACCTGAACTAAATATAACACATAGAACTACAGTGGATATAAAGACGATAACAAAAGACAAGCAAGAACTTGTTTTTTCCATGTATTTGAAATGTAATGGCTAAAATAGTGTTTTCCTGCTTCCATTGCTGTTTAACTAGTAATTTATTTAAGCACACTTTGCATACTTGGAAAAAAAAATTGTGTATTGATAAAAACAATTGCAATATACACATTGTACCTTCTAGGCGACCACAGAGGGTCAAACCTTTTCTGAAAATGCACAACAGACCTGAAAACAATCTAATTTGTGTTCACATGACCTTTTATAGTACCAGTGGATGTTTATGGCTATCCTCCAATTTCACTCATTTGCAGATTTCAGTCAAAGATCTAATGGGAGATGAAAAACACATGCTCTTTAATGAACAGCTCTAGTACTTTGAAAGCCTAATTCCATGGGATTTATTATCATCAAATCTTAATTAATACCCAGAAGTCTCTTGGCAAGCATCTGCCATCACTCAGGCATCCCAATAAGGTAGTATTGGATTTACTGAATAATGTATGGGTGGGTATGTGGATTATGCTTATATACTGCTTTTAAAATGCTCCTTTTTAAAAAGGGCTTTAGCAAATCAATTAGCTTAATACATGGTTTAATTAAAAGAACATGCTTATTGATGTCAGTGCATTTTTAGAATGGTGTATAGAATATGCTATGTTTATACATTGCAAGACTGTAATCATTCAAACCAAATGGCTTGGCTCCAAGCTATGATGCCATGAGCCGCAGTGCAGCTTCACCTCTGCATGCATCTTTCTTTTGCCTCATCATACTGAACTAAAGATTACTGGGTAAGCTCTGGTATTAGCTGATTGGCTATTAGAAATTTGGTGGGAAAGAAATAAAAAAGTTGGCGTGTCACCAAAAATGTCTTAACACTGAATCACTGCTAAGTTTGGAAATAAAAGAACATTTGAGCTGTTTGGGAAATTAGAACTTATTCCATCAGTTTTCATGGCTTATCTCTACATTTCACCTAATAGATGAGTTATTATAAATGTCATAATGTTTATGACTTTAACATTTTTAATGACCTCGTTTGATCAGCTTTGGAGTCTTCCTTATCAGTTCCACATATTTTATGAATGATGTCTTGCGTACAGTACTTTGCTTAAATTATTGACTAATATCATCAAATTATTTTGCACAGGCCCCAACTGTGAGATCTAGACCAAGGATAGTAGTCCCACACAGCAGAACAGTGTCGTTTCCTGCAAACGGCTCAGCCATGCTAACTTGTGATGCTCATGGTGATCCCAAACCCTCCATCACATGGACTACGGTTGCAACAGGTATGCAATAAACAGAAGAGACAGTGTAAAGCGTAAATCATGTTTTAAACTAAAAGGCTTTAAGTCAGAGGTGAATTTTATCCCATAAAATCTGTTTTGTAGTCTGTTATAAACCTTCCTGCTCAAGCCCAAAATAAACTCCACACCTACATTCTTCATTTTATTAGAAGATATTTTCCTTCATAATTCTTCCGCATGCGCTGGAAAATGTGTAATTTGTGGGTAAACCATACACTTGGATATGAGGCTACCAAATAAATAAAAATAAATACATTTTGAACCACACAACTAAAATAGTTAAAGGAGCCATATCATGAAAAATCCACTTTTTGGAGCTTTTTACCATGTGATATTTTTATTTCCTCATGAGAAAAAAACAAACAAAAAAAAAAACGAAACCCATTTTGGGCTGCATTCATGCCTTTTCTTGTTTCTTCTGTGAATTTTGAGTTTTACTTTGAAAATCTTGCAAAGCATCAATGGAAACTAGTCTCATCATCAAGCCCTGCTCCTCTTCTATATTCTGATCTGAAATCTGTCTCCTCTGGCTAGCTTAGGATATGTGGCTTAAGAAATCTGAGTCATGTAACAGACCAGAGGTGGTTTTATCATTAGGCATAGGTAGGCGGCCGCCTGGGGCCCCCTTGTGTTGGGGGGGTTCCCTAGCCCTGACCACTGGCACCCCTCTGTTAATGCCACAATATTCGTATTACCAACCTGTGGCCGCAGACGGGATTGGACATGCGCACTTCTCATTACCATAATTCCTGAACCATTGAAGATATCGTTAAAATTCTAAAAGTGCTGAAAACATTAAAAATGGGGCTTTTCATGCATATACAATACATTACGGTAGCCACCGGGATTCCCTGTCTTGAGCGCAACGAATCACAACACAGATTCAGAGACGTGCTGAGTTTGCCATCCAAAATGCTCCATTTTATAACTATTGAATGGCCGATCAGATTCAAAACATTCCAACGGTTCCTAGAAGTACATAAAAGCAGCTTTCCAACAATCTATAGCATGAAGCAATCAGAGATATGGAAAATATTGCTACGAGGGGAAATCCTGCTGTACAGCCTGATTAAAACGGAGCGCAGCGCCGCGGTGAAAGTGGATAATGGAACGGGGAAGCTAATTAGCATAAAAAGTCAGCATGAAATTGTGGAAATGCCTCAAATAAAATCAACACGATCTATTAGGTGTCCCAGAAGGCTTATAGCTATCTGAAGACAGTGACCACAAAGAAGGACAGATCTCCAGTGAACCAGGATATGAACTTTGTTCAGTCTTTATATTTTATTTTGTTATTTGAACAACCCTCAACTATTTGCTAATTGTAAGATTCAGCTTCATTCCAGCATTGTTCATCTTTTTACAATAGACAATTATTTTTGTTAAAACAAAAGTTTTTGGTATAACAATGCACGGTGTGCAAGAGAAGCACCCCATGGCAGTGAGAGGTGTGATCTGCCTGCAGCTGGAGAGAAGCTGCTTCAAGGTCTACCACATCAAATACAAACGTCTGAAAGTTTACAAAAATAAATGGTCTTAAAAACTGCTAAAAAGATACCAAGGTTCAAACTTTTTTAAGAATAGATGCATTACAGTTCAAAGTTTAAATTGTTTGCCCAGTAATTTTGAAGTTCCTGTTCAGTAATAAATGTAAAAAATTCAAATCCGTTTTTTGCTTTTTTCACTTTTAAGCTGATTTTTTAAAGGCTTTAATAGAAATAAATTCTAAATACAAACCATACACTAAAAGCTGAGGTTGTTCTGAAAAAAGGAGAGTGTTAAACACACTTTGCACTTTTTATTACAATTTTACAGCCATAAGATTAAAAAAGTACCAGGCGGCCCTGTTATAACTATGGTCATAAGAGGGTTATTAAGACGGCGATGCACAAACTGGAAGTGATTGGTAGTCATTCCACTCCAATCCAGTTGGTGGCGGTAATGCACCAAATAGTTGTTTGCCAAGTGCCATAAGACCACAAATAATAAGAAGAAGAGAGGCGGGAGCGTTCGTAACAAACTCAAAGCGATAGTCAAAACATTAAGCATGAAACTGAGTTATCCTAGTGGCTCCAATAAGAGAAAGAAGCAGCATGCTTCATAAAAGCTTTTCTTTTCACTTTTGAAAGTGACGTCGTTTTTCTATGTAAACATCAAAAGGAAGCAGAAAGGAAAGACAATGGAAAATGTTTCAAGGGAGGAAAACATAGACCAAAATGGAAAATAGAAAAAAATAACTAAGGCAAAAGCACAGGAGCACTGACAGGAAGAAGAAAGCAGAGCAAATATTGAAGGCACTCAAAGGGAGAGAAAGACGGGAAAAAATAGGAGGACTAATAGAAAGGGAAAATAACTCATGTCAGAAGAGGGGGGAGTTTCGCAAATCCAGTTAAAGGTAAGATTGTCAAAAATTTAGGGTAAGGGGCCCCATGTCTGTGTTCGCCTTGGGCCCCCCAAATTGCTAAATACGCCCCTGTAACAGACTCAGTAGTCTAGCAGTTGGTGTGCCTGGCTGGCATGCAGTTCAGCCCAGGTTCTGATCAATAATTTGTGTTATCCTTTTTTAGCTACACTTGCTATGATTATCTTAGGTGTGTTCTTGCTGTGTCTTGGTTCTAATTCCATGCTGTTGTTCTTTTTTAAAACACACAGAAACGGTTCCGTTACCTGTTTTTTTCGCTACGTTTCTTCTGCAGCTGCAGACTTCCTCACACCGGGGACACACTGGCCGCGGAAGCGCCGCGAAAATGGGACCGCCTTCATTCGGCGCCCTTGTTAAGCTATTCTATAGACCACATGAGCCGCCGAAGCGCCGCGAATCGCCTCGCGCCGGCGCTCCAGCCCGCGCCGTGCAGCGATCATTTCGGCGTTGGCTCTATTTTTTTCGCGAGCCGCGGGTGAATCGCGTCAATCCTGGCAGGAAGTCAAACCTAGACATAAGAGGCAGGCCGGTAAAGTTAACAAAATAAAGCATTTCAAAATAAAATTCCGCAATAGTCAAATGTGTTCGTAAACAGACACTGCAGAAAAACCACACGAACACGCACACACACACACACACATTGAACTTGTGTGCGTGTGTGACCACGTGAAGGGGGTGTGGTTTTGGGTGTCTTTTCACCGGAGCAAACAGGACAGAGAGAAAGAAACTAAGTCTGAGGCAAGCAGTTAATACGGATGACTTTAAATTAATTATGGAAGTTGAGAAACACAAGGAGCTGTACGACCCCCGAAAAACATGGTTATTTACGTACCCATTTCTGAAGAAACTGCTAGGATACAGCTGCAGAATTGGAGCGGGTTCCAAGAGATTCAACTGGCAGAAACAACTCATACCATAGGTTCACACACACACACACACACACACACACACACACACACACACACACACACACACACACACACACACACACACACACACACACACACACACACACACACACACGTACAAACACTCAAACGTAGAGGAAAAGAGCTGAGAAAAGGCAGAGAGGAAATGGAGGACACCAAGTGTTTAAAAGAAAAACTACAGCTGAGTCGAGGCGCGCCTCGACTGGGGCGCGTCTGATCTGAACTGAGGAGCGGCGAGCAGCGGCCGAATTTCGTGAGCGATTCGCTTCTCGGCGCTTCACGGCGCTTCCGCGGCCGGTGTGCCCCCGGCGTCAGGCTAACGCTGATGGTGGCGCGTCACTTCCTTCTTCGTTTATCCGCGGGTAGCAGAGGACGTTGTCGCCCTCTGCTACCCGCTCTCCCCTCTCCGACGATGCAGTCCCATGCGCGGTCCAACGTGTAAACTCCATCGTCCCTGTTCATGGTCCCCTGCTGCCCGCGGATAAACGAAGAAGGAAGTGACGCGCCACCATCAGCGTCAGCCTGAGGAAGTCTGCAGCCGCAGACGAAACGTAGCGAAAAAACAGATAACGGAACCGTTTCTGTGTTTTAAAAAAGAACGACAGCATGGAACTTGCTATGATGTTTTCAACTCTTTATTGGTAAACTGTTTAAAAAGTAAGGCCTAATGTATTTTTATTTTTGATTTTGTTCATCTAGCCAGTGTGAGTCCATGTGAGGTGAGCAGAGTAAATCAACTAAAATCCTGCTTGGAAATGACCAAATTCAAAGATGTTTAGAGACACGTTGTTTTTGCAGAAAATAATCAATAAAACCAACAAACAAAATCATGAAATTTGCTTCAGCTGGCTAAATAAATTACTGCCGACATCACCGTAGGTCAAACCCAATGTCAGCACATGGCAAATCTAAGCTGACTGACCAACATATTCTTACACCCGAAACGGCTGAAACTGAAGAAGGGTGACCAAGCGCTGTGCCAGCGGTAAAACAGACATTTCACCAACATTTAACCTCCAACCTGTAGCAATTCAACCTTCCCCTCGCCCCCATCCTAACCTTAACCCAGTTTCTCTTTCTAAATGTCCCGTTAACCATGTTTGAGGGGAATGATACAACAAGAATTAAAGTTTAGGATGGGGGTGAGGGGAAGGTTAAATTGCAAGAGGGTAAAGGTCACAATTCGCTAAAATCTCTGTTTTACCACGGGTGTCGGGAGGCGACGCGCTGTACCAGAGCGTCGCCTCCCGAAACAAACACTTGGTCACCCTTCGTCAGTTTCAGCCGCTTCAGGTGTGAGAATGTGTTGGGCTGACAGATGCCTCAACCACTGGACTTCCACAGCCAATACACCAAGTGACTTGCCTAAGACGCTCTGGTTGGCACGTTTTGTCGGAGTAGGCGTGGGCGGAGCTTCACTGAAACGAAGCGTCTTATTTCTGGGTAGAAATTCAGGCTGACAAAAAGAACTCATATCTAAGATATGTGACATCTCAATAGTGCCGATGATAATATTTTATCATACACTGTGCCTACGTTTGCCCTCAAATGTTAAAATAACATGATATGGCACCTTTAAGTTCGAAAGTTCATCGAGGAAACTAATTTCCATCTTAATATTTTTTTATGGCTGAATAAAAATGAACACGTGTGTGTTATAAAAGAAAAAAACAAAACATTAACGCCTATCGTTACACTGGCATGCACATAATAGGCTTTTCTCTTTTTTTACCACTTGGGAAAAACATGGCTAGTCAGTAATGGAACATTTTGTGCACGGCATCACTGCCTCTTTCTTGTTTTTTTCATCTTTTCCTCTCTTTCAAACTCTATAACTTTCTTTCCAAATTTGTCTCTTTCCTCCTCACACTGTCTACTCGTTACTGTTTTTGCCTTCTGTCTCACTGCCTCACTCCTCACCTTTCCCCACAGGAGCGGTGATGTCAATCCACTCCAGGGCTCAGCGTTTCGAGGTCTTGCCAAACGGCACCCTTGTTATCCAGAACGTTCAGCTGCAGGACAGGGGCACGTACGTCTGCAGTGCAACCAGCTACCTGGGTAGTGACAGGTGAGACTACTGATGCTTTAAATGCATATTAATGCACAAATCGGTTTACCATTCAGCTACAATGACCTTGGGTCACTGTGTAGTCAGTTTTAATCCCATTGGCCTGCAGAAAGCTTGGCTGCAATATAATCTTTTATTAGATGTCCTGCTGCTGTTTTATCCACTTTTTGGGCTTGTGAGCAACATTTTAACAAGCCTGTTTGCAATGTTTAAGATCCCTAAAAACAAATAAAAATTTCTTCACATTTAACACGATTTTTTGTTTTCTGGTGGCAAATTAAACAAATGAACATTTCCCATGTTTCTAAATGGTTTAAAACTGATGTTGTCGTGTTGAAGATTTGAATCTGAGTGGTATCTACTTTTTAATGACAGATTGCTCACTACTCTGGACGTTTGGACCCGCCCTCCTCGTATGCGTCTCGCCAGCTACAGAGAAGTTACTGTTCATCAGGGTGGAGATATTCACTTGGAATGCCAAGCAGAAGGCGTTCCAACCCCTCTGCTCTCCTGGGTTTTACCCGATCGTTCATCTTTAACATCTTCTAGCAATTTCTCCAGTCGAGTCACCGTGGACACAAATGGAACTCTTCAAATCCCAGTGACTTTACCCAGTGATCGAGGACTATATCGCTGTGTGGCGTCCAACTCAGCTGGTGCTGCCAGTTCCACCGTGCGTGTACACGTGTCCTCACTGCCTCCAGTGGTACAACAACCCAGAGAGGAGCACCTGCTCTTTTCTCCAGGGAGGCCTGCTTATGCACACTGCTCGGCCCGAGGAGCCCCGCCACCAAGTCTGCGTTGGCGAATTCCAGATGGGACCCAGGTTCGCCCATCTCAGTTTCTCCACGGCAATCTCTTTGTCTTGCCCAATGGAACGCTGCACATTCTAAAGGTTGGACCACAGGATGCAGGCAGTTATGAGTGCACAGCCAGTAATACTGTGGGGACCTCCAAGAGGACAGTGAAGGTAGAAATTAAAGAGAGAGCAGAGTTAGAAAAAGACAAAGAAGCTGGAATTGAGGACGTAAAATACAAAAAGACACCAAATTCATCCTTTTTCAACACAAACAGAACACGGGTCATCCCTAGCCAACCCACAGATCCACCCACTAAAATCCCCCTCGTATATCCTTCTGACCGATCTAGGAACTTGTCGATCAGCCCAAGCTCTTCTAACCCTTCCTCTAACTTTTCTCCTGAAATCAGTAAAACAGTAAAAACGTCACACTTTGCCGATATCAAAAAAACACACCCTCCCACTGTTTTCTCACAGCCCGCTGTGCCAGCATATAACACCAAAGTCTCCCCCAGAATAAACAACACAAGAGTTACTTCTCCTCCCGCAGACAGAAAAGCCTCATCTGTTTTACAGCCTCTTCCTGTTTCCCCTTTCACTAAAGCTCGTATTGTCTCCACATCACCCTCCCCCTCTACAGTCAACTATGGGGAGATTTTGAAGCTTTACTGCTCTGTAACTGGAAACCCCACCCCCATTGTCATTTGGAGGACCCCTAATAGGAAGCTTGTAGACATGCACTACAGGTACAGTGATACATTTAGTATGATAGATTTTATTTTATTCTTTTGTTTAATTGATGTGTGTAAATCATTTGTATGCAATTTTGTGTTCTTATTTGAATTTAAGTTTTGATCAACGTCTGAAGGTGTATCAAAACGGAACGCTGTTAATCCAGGCAGTAACAGAGAAGGACGGTGGAGAATACCTGTGCATCACACGTAACAAGGTTGCAGATGATTTCCGACTTCTGCGTGTAGATGTGGCCACCAGGCCTGCCAAAATCGAGCCAAAACAACCGCCAAATCATACGGTTTCATTGGGGAAACCACTGAAGGTAAACATCTCTAGGGAGATTTAGCTGCAACTTTCCATTTCTTCTGATCCTTAATATTTGTTAAGTCATTGCAAAAAAAATAAAAAGGTAGGTTTATTAATAGTTTATGACTGAATCACCGATGGTTAAAAACTTGACATTTATTTTCTTGGATGCACTTAAATCGAGGACAAAAATTCTAAAAAGAACCGAAATAAGGTTTTATGAGGATCAATACTCGAGGACTCCAAAAGTTGTCACAAAGGTTGAATGCAAGAAATTAGATATTTTATTATTGTGGGACCAGCTTGCCCTTTATTTTTCTTTCAATTTAAGCATTTATGAGCAAGTAGTGGGGCACTTTGAGTGCCAATAAAATGGGTTGTTGTTCAAACTGATAATTCATATCTGGAATGTTCTGTCTTTAACAGTATAAGAAAAACCCACAAAAGAATACACGGGACACCATAAAATAAAGAGAATAAGCTAGATTAACATGCCCCCAACCCAAAAAATAAATTAATAAATAAAATAAACCAAAAAAATAACCTTTAAATGCCTCACTGAAACACTTAATCCTCTCCAGATGGATTGCCAGGCATCTGGACTGCCTCACCCAGCTGTGCGTTGGAGCCTACCAGATGGAACCATGGTGAACGGTGTGTTGCAAGAGGAAGAAAATAGGGAGCGACCAAGGCAACTAACTCTATTTGACAATGGAACATTACTGGTTCCAGCAGTGGGAATGGGAGAAGAAGGAGAATATATGTGTTATGCTGAGAACCAAGCAGGCCTAGACACAATGAAGGTATTTAAAGGAGTTTATTGTGGACAAAACATGATAAATGCATTCCATTTGATAAGAACACAGCTGCTGTGAACTAGCTTTGTCAAAATTAATTAGGCATCACTGGAAATGACATTTTTTAGCAATGCCGAACTGTAACAAATGCCAGTGTTCTACTAATTTTTTTTCTCAATATGTTTAAGGTCAAAGTGAAAGTCCTAAGGACATCTCCACCAACCTTCATTGATGAAACAAGTCTCAATGTTATTAAATTACGCCAAGGAGCATCTGCCATGATTCCCTGCCAGTCCAGAGGAGACCCTGCCCCAACGGTGATGTGGTTTTCCCCTGCACGCCGTGTCATACCGCAGAGACTAGGGTCTGGTTATTATAGTGAGCGCATTGTGGTGGTTTCAGATGGAACCCTGAAGGTTCGTTTGGTTCAAAACACTGATGCAGGAAATTACACATGCCAAGCTAGCAACTCTGCTGGAACGAGGAACAAAGTGGTCACCTTGGAAGTTGAAACCTCAGCTCACGGACTTAATGAAAAGGCGGGAGGAGGACGGAGTTGGAATACAAACAGCGAGCATGTTGGGAGTCATGACTCTCAATCAGGGGACAACACTGTTAATAGAGGAGTCCTCAGGCATGGAGTCACGAGCGAGTTGGGTAGCAGAGACAGCTATAGTGATACCAATGGTAGAATGGGAAATGTGGTGCCGAACACTGGTGTGAACTTTGCAGTTGGTAGCTCTAATCCAGCACTGACACGTTATAGGCAAAATGGATTTAAGAGTCCCCAGGGTGGGTTTACAACACAGCTAGGTAATACTGGCATCGCAGCTGGAGTAGGCGGGGCTCAGAGTGCAAACAACAAAGCAGAGAGCATTGAAATAGGCAGAAATGAGCCAACCAGTGTTAGAAGGAGTAATAGTTTGGGTCACAATCGCAATACTGATACAAGGAATAGTGAACAAAATCCTGGGACAAACAACAATGAAGTTGCTACAGTACGAACAAGCAATCAAGCTAACAACAGCAGGCACATTAGCACACTGGGTGGCGTTTCAGGAAATGTTCAAAGTCTTAGAAGTGGTTTGTCAAAAAGTGGAGCTGGTCTAAACACAATTAGAGGGCTCAGTTACAGTAGGAGTGGTAATTTAGGAGGGACCAGTGATAGTAAAGGAAATCGTGGTGGTATAAGTGGTGGTTCTGCTGCCGCTCTGGGTGTGGTAACAACAATTAAACAGCAAGCACTTAAAGACCAGACTGTTCTTCTGCCGTGCCCATCCCAAGGTTCTCCATCACCTCGTCTATCCTGGCTTCTGCCTGGAAATGGCATGCTGCCAGCTCCCTACTATGGCAGTCGGCTCACTGTGCACCGAAATGGTTCCCTGGAGCTTCGGGGCGTACGGATGAGTGACAGCGGTACTTTGGTTTGTGTTGTGAAAAGCGAAAGAGGAGATATGCTGATTCGGGTGGAGCTGCAGGTGTCAGAGCGGCAGGCTGATGCAAGATTTCCACAAAGGGAAGTAACGGAGAAAAGATCTCAACAAGAAGATGTAAAAAATCCACCTCAGTCTTTAATTCCAAGATCAGTGGCACAGCTGCTGCACCAGCAGAGGATCCAGAGCTCACCTGGAGTGGCTCGTCCAGTGACCTCTTCACCATCAGCGTCTGAGTCCAAAGTAAGCAACAGTATGGCCTCTCTGGTGAGCACCATAAATGGAGAGACCTTCAGACTGCCTTGTCCTGCTTCTACAACTGAGGGCTCTCTTTTTTGGACTTTGCCCAGTGGCAGGATTCTCTCTAGGGGTGAGAGTGGTGACTCAGGCCGTTACACAGTGCATGAAGATGGAACACTAGTAATTAAACAGGCCTCTGTGTTTGACCGAGGCACCTACTCTTGCAAGTTCTCCAGTCACGACTCTGCTTCAGTTTCTGTCCTCACAGTCCCTGTCATTGTCATTGCTTACCCTCCGCGCATCACAGCAGGCCCCTCCCCTGTGACCTATACTAGCCAGGGTGTTGCTGTGGAGCTGCCCTGCCTAACTATAGCAACACCGCGGGCAACAGTAACCTGGGAAGCACCTGACCTGACACAGCTGAGGGTGATGGGTCAGCCTCGGATTTACGGCAACCGCTACCTCAGTCCTCAGGGCTCTTTGGTGATACAAAACCCAACACACAGAGACACGGGATTTTACAGATGCACTGCCAAAAATGTAATTGGAGTGGACAGCAAGGCAACCTACCTGCATGTTATATAAAACGACAGACAAATATAAACATGATTTCTTTCATGCCCAAAGGAACTGCAAAGCTCTGTTTTTGAGAGACTGGTGAATCATGAGCACTCCTTGAAAATGTCCTTTGTGTGTATTTTTAATGTATGATTTTGTCAGTATTGTCAGATTTGAGGCTGCAAGGTGATAATTTGTTTGCAGGTACAAAAATATTGTGGTACCTAAACTTCCTTTGAAAGTGGTGTTCATTTTATTATTGTAGCTCTAATCTGAACTCATAACTTTTTTAAATGAGAATGTGTATTTTTTACCATTAATCTCTGGAAATATCCATCAACATGATGAAAATGAATTAAATGATGCCCAGTTGTTGAAAAATATTGGCGACTTTGTAACATATAACCATAAAAATGGGTCTAAAATACATGGGGGCTGGTCTAAGTCTCTGGGCCATCCTGTTTTAGATGCCATGTTTCCTTCTACGGGAGCCTATGAGGACAAAATGCATTTACTGATTTGTAACAAACGGTTCCAAAACTTTAGCCATTCATACATGTTGTTTTTTTTTTTACACTTTTACCTCTTCGCTTGTTGCCAGTGATGAAGGGGAGTCTGATGTGCTCATCTTTTTGCTGGAGGTTGGGCTCCCAGGAATATTTGACCCTAATGGCCATCCATTGGTAAGGTCTTACTCGTACACAAAAAATACCACTAGCTTGCAATGATTTAGGTATGTACTGCCCCCTTTCGCCAGGGAAAATACACACCAGGGAATACCAGTGAACTGAAACTCCTTCCTGTGCTTTGTAAACAAATTAAGCTTTGGTTTACTACCTTAGGCACATGTTGGATCTGGTCAGCTAGACCAAAAAATATCTTGACATTGAGTATTTATGCATTTAAATGCAAAATCTTTTACGATTTGAGCTCTCATGTGAAGCATTAAATGTTGACTCCTCTTTGCACATTTTCATTTATGGTGAGTACAAGTCTGTAGACAGCTTTTATCTGTTTTTCCTTTTTCTTACGCCACACATTATACATTAATGTATCTTATTGAGTCGCTGAATACTACAGAGACCATACAGCATCAAACAACGTCAGCATTGCTCCCATCTTTATGCAGATGCATAAAGACAAACCAAATGTATGGTAATAAATTCCTGCCTGGCTTGATGTGAGTAAAAATATTTGCTTTTGTCAGATGCAGAACAAAAAAAATAATAATTTGTGATTTTGTCTCAACTGGAGCTACTGGTGATCATTTATTTGCTGACTTTATTGGTTATGCTTCGGCTGTGGCTGCCTCATTTGCATCACTCTTCTCATGAATGAACGTTTGGCAAACTCGCTCATGGAGAGCTTTGGTGTAAAGTGTTGTAACGTACCAAAAGGGTCAATTTTCACCTATATATTGATCAACATGGTGACCTTTCATCTACAACATGAATCCACTTTCTGTTTGGCCTTCTAAATCCAGAAGGTTCTGCTCAGCAGGTGTTGACATTCCATGAAGACAAAACAGCTCTTTTCAGAGCTACTTCAACTCAGACATCCACCTTGGAAACATAACCTGCAGACCCCGGGTTGCATCTCATGGCCAGGGAAGCTGAACTCAGAGGAAGCTTCTAATCTCTGAGTATCGTGGATTCGACTTCCGGTGACCTCACCACTCTGACCGCAACCCTCCGGACCGCCGGGAGCAACTCATACAAGGGCATCGTAAGCCTGCGTACTGGTGTCTGATGAGGTTTTTATCAATAACTAACTCTCTAGTTTATAACAAACAACAAATTATTTTACAGCCAGATTTCACAATTTCTCTCAGATACAAAGAACGGTTGCTACAACATCTAGCTTCCAACACAACATCTCACATCTCACATCCACCACATCACATCTCATTATTCACATCTTGTTGTGTATCATTAGTTTAGGAAAAATAATTAAATTCATTTTGTAAACTACATACCTGACTCTGTCTGAATTAATACGAAGTGTGTTTATGGTCCCTGAATAAGCAAAGAACCCTAGAATCTTCTGATTAAACATTCAAAGATCAATCTGATTGATAATTCATATTTGTATGAAATATCACATCTTAATGGTCATAATTAATATGCATTAATTGCTACCATGTTATGCATCACAAATACCTTCAGAATATTGGGTTAGGGTTGCCTTAATCTTAGGTTCTCTAAGTATTAACGAGACAGAAAGGGATTTGTACTAAGATAGGTTGTAAACACAGTATTAGTCAAGTTTTACAAACAAATCTTGATTTATTTAAATGTTAATGTTCTTAAAGTCAGCACTATGTGTTTCGTTAATTTGTTCTGTAATGTTTCCATTATTTACCTAAACAACTTGTTTTGACTCGGCTTTAGTTACTTGGTTTTGTTCGAAATGGATCAATTTTTTTTTCATTGTGTATATTTTCTGTCTCACTAGTAAGTTATGAATGCTTGCTTTGTGTTTAAGCAGGATTTGCGTAATTTAAATAATAATAATAAAGGGAACTCGAAGTGTTTTGCTTTCAAAAGTATCACAGTTATGGCTGGATGATATGGAACAGAACGCATAAGAGTGCTTGTGGGACTGAATGAGAAAAACTGTATGTGTGTGTGTGTGTGGGGGGGGGGGGGGGGGGGGGAGGGGGAGTGGCAAGGCAACTTTTCCTGGAGTTCATTATGAAAACACAAACTCCTTATCCTGAGCTCGGCTGTCAGACCTGGAAATGAGATCTTAACTGTAGATGAGACACATGTTGATGACATCATGTTCCTCTCTCTGGGAAAAGCAATAAAACTCACAGCAGCCTGCAGAGGAGCTCCACACACACGCCACCCTGCATGATCTCACACCTGCTGTTCAAACTATGAACACAGCAAATACTTAGAGCTGTGGATTCAGTAAGAGGAGTGTTCTAGGTTGGTGTTCTTTATGAACCATCTTTATGGAGCATTGCTAGAGTAGATATTTCAGGAATTCAGTGAAGAGTAATGACCAAAGTGTCTGTGGAGCTGCCGAGGTTGTCACGAAAAAAGTCTTGTCATTAATACGGCAACACTGCAGAAAATGCAATCTGTATTTTTGAACGTATTTTCCAGATTAGTTGAAAGACAACAAAGAAAGATCGCTATGTGGCAACCAAGGAGACCATCTGTTACAGTTTTGAAGAGACTTTTTTTCTAATTCTGCTTAATGCATCTTTTATGTTCAGGGTCTTTGTTTTTGTTTAAGGTCTTATGTTAGGTCTGTGATGTGATTGTTTCTAAGAAAGCTATTGCATTCCATTTGAAACAAGGTCATATGAGTGACCTCATACATGTTTTTTTATTCTAAAATGTATTTGTCGCTTATTATTTCCTGCTGAAAGACAAAATATATTTTACCATGTTTCTCAGTGTTTGTGCAGACCCACGCTTGTCTGTAATATTAGAAAAATAGTAGGTTGGATGTACATCAAACTGGCTATCTGTTGAAGTAAACCTCATCCAATATGGCTGCCAAACCTGATGGAGTCAACACAAAAATCATGATAACTCAATTATTTTAATGGTATTGGATTGCAGTTTGGTGTGTTGTTAGCTTAAAGTCAGAAACAACTCATACTCTTACCCCTTCTTTCCACCAGCCATGAAAGCGGTCATGTGACATAATAGTGGCGTTTTTACCCACAAGCTCATTCCCAACCAGGAGTAATTCTGTCCGGAAACGGGAGCAAAAGCACTCCACATGTTATCCCGCGACATCACTAAATCACGAGTAACACAGAGTAATGAGCATGGAGAAAGACAGCTGGATGTATGAAAAAAAATCTGTGGTTTATTTTCTGTTCTTTTTACATCACCTACGGGGTTTTTAACAGGAAATGGCATACGTTTATCTGCATGTGACTTTTATTTTGAAAGTTTCCAGATATTGACTTCCTGTCTGGTGCGATCTAAACTGCAGATTTTGACGTGTTTTGGAAGTGTAGCGCATAAAACCAGAATCCGAAAGGTTTTATTGACATGTGTGCAAGAATCAGACCATTAGGAAATTGCTTCGGTACTTGGTACAAGAAAAAATAAATGCTAAGCAAAGTATGGAATTAAGAAATAAACAGAGGCGGTTTTACCATTAGGCATAGGTAGGCGGCCGCCTGGGGCCCCCTTGTGTTGGGGGGCCCCCTAGCCCTGACCACCGGCACCCCTCTGTTAATGCCACAATATTCTTATTACCAACCTGTGGCTGCAGACGGGATTGGACATGCACACTTCTCATTACCATAATTCCTGAACCGTTCAAGATATCATTAAAATTCCAAAAGTGCTGAGAAGACTAAAAATGGGGCTTTTCATGCATATACAATACATTACGGTAGCCACCGGGATTCCCTGTCTTGAGCGCAACGAATCACAACACAGATTCAGAGACGTGCTGAGTTTGTCATCCAAAATGCTCCGTTTTATAACTATTGAATGGCCGATCAGATTCAAAACATTCCAACGGTTCCTAAAAGTACATAAAAGCAGCTTTCCAACGATCTATAGCATGAAGCAATCAGAGATATGGAAAATATCGCTACGAGGGGAAATCCTGCTGTACAGCCTGATTGAAACGGAGCGCAGCGCCGCGGTGAAAGCGGATAACGGAACGGGGAAGCTAATTAGCATAAAAACCTGCATGAAATTATGGAAATGCCTCAAAGAAAATCAACACGATCTATTAGGTGTCCCAGAAGTCTTATAGCTATCTGAAGACAGTGACCACAAAGAAGGACAGATCTCCAGTGAACCAGGATATGAACTTTGTTCAGTCTTTATATTTTATTTTTTTTTATTTGAACAACCCAACTAATTGCTTATTGTAAGATTCAGCTTCATTCCAGCATTATTTATCTTTTTAAAATAGATAATTATTTTTGTTAAAACAAAAGTTTTTGGTATAGCAGTGCACGGTGTGCCAGAGAAGCACCCCATGGTGGTGTGAGGTGTGCAGAGTGGGACTCTGCCTGCAGCTGGAGAGAAACTGCATCAAGGCCTACCACATCAAACAAAAACGCCTGAAAGTTTACAAAAAAATAAATGGTCTTAAAAACTGCTAAAAAAGACACCAAGGTTCAAACTTTTTTAAGAATAGATGCATTACAGTTCAAAGTTTAAATTGTTTGCCCAGTAATTTTGAAGTTCCTGTTCAGTAATAAATGTAAAAAATTCAAATCCGTTTTTTGCTTTTTTCAATTTTAAGCTGATTTTTTAAAGGCTTTAATAGAAATAAATTCTAAATACAAACCATACACTAAACGCTGAGGATGTTCTGAAAAAAGGAGAGTGTTACACACACTTTGCACTTTTTATTACAATTTTACAGCCATAAGATTAAATACATACCAGGCGGCTCTGTTATAATTATGGTCATAAGAGGGTTATTAAGACAGCGATGCACAAACAGGAAGTGATTGGTAGTCATTCCACTCCAATCCAGTTGGTGGCGGTAATGCATCAAATTGTTGTTTGCCAAGTGCCATAAGACCACAAATAATAAGAAGAAGAGAGGCGGGAGCGTTCGTAACAAACTCAAAGCGATAGTCAAAACATGAAGCATGACATGGAGTTATCCTAGTGGCTCCAACAAGAGAAAGAAGCAGCTTGCTTCATAAAAGCTTTTCTTTTCACTTTTGAAAGTGACATCGTTTTTCTATGTAAACATCAAAAGGAAGCAGAAAGGAAAGACAATGGAAAATGTTTCAAGGGAGGAAAACATAGACAAAAATGGAAAATAGAAAAAAGTAACAAAGGCAAAAGCACAGGAGCACTGACAGGAAAAAGAAAGCAGAGCAAATATTGAAAGCACTCAAAGGGAGAGAAATACAGGAAAAAATAGGAAGACTAATAAAAAGAGAAAATAACTCATGTCGGAAGAGGGGAGAGTTTCACAAATCCAGTTAAAGGTAAGACTGTCGAAAATTTAGTGTAAGGGGCCCCATGTTTGTGTTCGCCTTGGGCCCCCAAATTGCTAAATCTGCCCCTGCGCAGAAGGGATGAAACTGTTTTTGTGGTGAGAGGTTCTGGTCCGAATGGAACGGAGCCTCCTGTCAGATGGAAGCGAGTCAAAGAGACTGTGGGTGTTTCTCAATGTCAAGGCGCCTTTCCCTGCAAGGCAATGTCTTGCGAGGCCAGGTGCCTTGCTTACAAGGACACTGTCCTTCTTTGGTCAAAGAAAACGGTTAAATGGAACAGACTTGCATCACGTGTCCG